CAGTGTACATCCTCTGGTCTATCTGGAATTGTAGGGTAGAATTGGGATCATGATAGTAGGGGGTAGGAAGCATTTAAGAACTAGAGGAAAGTTATATGTTTCATCAGTGCTAACCTGCACCCTGACTGGCTCGTCTCCTCCCCGCGACCCTTCTGTAAGGGGATGTCCAGTTCCCTCAGATGGGCTTTGGGTCCCCCCTCCGCACTCCCCTCATTCACACGACTCCTTTAGAACTTTTGAAAGGCTTACCTTTAACCGTATTAACTTTCCTAGAATAGCCTGCTCTCCCGTGTATGCACATTCATTTCAACACTAAAACTGATGACAATTATTTTTAAAACAAAACAACTTAAATAGGCATTATAAATGGTCCTTGGGGGCAACAGCAAATGAAGACATTAATTCAAGAACATTTCACAAAATCAGTCAGATGTAAATCTGTGCTATTTGAAACAAGATTCTTTCCTTGCTCCTCGCAGCTCAGAGAGCCGGGGAATCCCTTCCAAGCTTCTACACCCGCCCACACACCATCTCTCCTCTTAGCCCTTCTCAGTCAGATACCCTTCCTTCTTCCCAGGAGGAGCGTGTCAGTGTTAGTCTCCATCCTCTCTGTCATTGGTAGTAGAGGCTTTGTCCCAAGTGAATGAGAAGTCCCTCTTCTACGCCACCCCCCCCACCCCCCCCTGCTGACTATGGAGCCCTTGATCATCCTTGCTTCAGCCCATTGGACCTTGGTTTCAGGATGGAAGAGATAAGCTGAGAACTTCAGGGTTCTGTATACTCTCCTGAGAACTTCACTTCCAGAGCAGGGGTTGCTATTTTCTCTGAGCCCAGCTCCAGAGATCCTATTTAGAGATTTTGCTTGGGGTGAGGAAAACCAAACCAAACCAAACTCACTGCCATTGAGTTGATTCTGATTCATAGTGCCCTTATAGGACTGGATAGAACTGACTCTGGGTTTCTGAGACTGTAACTCTTGATAGTCAAAATCCTTGTCTTTCTCTTGTGGTGTGGCTGGTGGTTTTGAAGTAACCCCCTTGTGGTCAGCAGCCCAACATGTAACCACTATATGACCAGGACCTCTCAGGGTGAGGGGAAGTAGGCCAAAAACATAATTCATAATCTCTTCCCAAAATAACTGACTGCATTTGAAACAGAGGGTGGGGAAGGGGAAACCCAAAGCCACACTAAAAACAGTGGAGTTGTTTTAGTGAAAAGCAATTGAGGAGATTCAAGACACAGGCTAAATTATAGTCTGGCTAGTTAGTAGGAGAAAATCAGGAAATAATTGAATAATAAGACATCTAAGAAAAGCCCTCCTGTGGTCCAAATAAATATCAAACACTGACATCGGAGACTATTCTTTTAAAAAAGGCCAAATTTGATTGTTTAGCTTGGAAATGTCCAGAGCATTATCAAAAATAATAGAGCAATCAGTCAGCAATCAGTGGAGTTAAGACAGGGTCAAGAAAATGGGAATGGTGCCCTACCAAAACCACTTTGGTCTCAGGGTGACTGACTATGGGCAGAGACAAAACTATAAAAACAAACCTCACTGTTGCTGGGTCCATTCAAACTCATAAAAATGCGCTAAGGCTGAGTAGAAATGGCCCTGTGGGTTTACCAGGCCTGTAAATCTTTACAGGTTCATAAAGCCTCATCTTTCTCCTGTGAGCAGCTGGTGGGCTTGAACTACTAACCTAGCAATTAGTAGCCCATGTGTAATCCACTATACCATAAGGGCCCCCAGAGAGGAAATAGATTTGACTAGACTAATCCAACCTCTCACTGAACAAGCAAAAACAAAAAGACCTGGAATGAGAGGAATGGTACCCAGAGTTGCTACATTATCCAAAATGTTCCGTTTCCAACATAAAATTATGACATGCTGAGAACCAGCAAAGCATGACTATAACTTTGGGGGGCACTAGAAACTTCTGTGAAAGAGAACAGATGAGGATTTATCAAAAAATGAGTAACTATAAGCCTATTCAAATAAGTAAAGGAAAGCATGATTATAATAAAAATTAGATGGCAATATTCCATAAAATAGATGGTATCGATAAGAGATAGAAATTATAAATAAGTACCAAACTGAAATTTGGAGTTGAAGAATAAAATAACTGATGTGAAAAATTCACTGGAGACAGGGCGCCATCCATTCCACCCCCACCCCCACTCGCCCCCCTCAAGACTGGCAGACATTCCTACCAGAGTGATGAGGGATACTAATGGGAAAATCAAGTCAGGAGAGGAGAAAGGGAGCTTGTACATCTTAGAGAAGTGGATGTCTGTTCGTAGAAAAAAAGAACCCAATCTCCTAGTGGGGTGGGGGCAGGGTATTGGCTAACAATACTTTCAAGGACCCTAAGGGAGGGTATGCATGGTACTATGCGCCTAACAGGCCACATTAACCCGAGTTTCTGTACACCCCCTGGGGACCCAGGCCATGTGCCATCAAATACTGAGACACCGAATCTTCAAGGCCACAACATGCTCCAAAGGTCATAGCAGAGGGATGGAATGTGGAAACCCCACTCACTAGGTGATGTAGACTCTACCTCAGACACATCTGTAACCAGGACTTACAATTGAAACAGAATGGTGTGTGAAGAGACAAAAGACAGCTATACGAAGAGTATTGAACTGTCAGTAGGCAACCAACATTTGCTTGAGATACATATTATTTTGGCAGACCTGCCATTGAATATTATTGTAAATTTTGCCTGCACACCAACTCCCACTGTTAGTGTAAAAAGTGTCCAGTCATGTAAGGATTTATTCTGTACCAGTCTATAATCCATGTATTGTGATTTGTAGTTAGCTTACACTTGTTCAATCTTCCTTTCTCAATAGTGTTTTAAAATTAGTACTAATCAATGGCACAATAAACAGAAGGTCCTTATTCTCCAGGGAGATGATCGATAGGATTCTCTACCATAAAATAACAAGGCTGTCTCTACGGTGAACCAGAGGCAGATAAAAAACAAATTCAGGAATGCATTTAGACCTCATACTTTATGTTCTAGCTCCAATCTAAGAACCATTAGTTCTTAGAACATGATCCTGCTGGATATTCGCCTTCAAGAAGGGAACATGGAAGATATGGATGCTATAGCAAAGCGTGGTGAAGAAAGCAGATGGTGTCTGGCTATTAGAAAGAATAGCGTCTGGGGTCTTAAAGGCTTGCTTTCAAACAAGCAGCCATCTTAGTGAGTTGTCAACTAAACCCACATGAAAAAAGCACATCAATATCCATGATTCAAGGACTGTAAATTATAGGATCCAAACGTGAAGGAGGGAATAGTACCAAAGCTTAAATTGCGAGATTCTGGTGTGCAGAAGGCTATGGACGACAGTGGAAGCCTGTATACATGTGCAGAATCTACACAGTGATTTCCCTCCAACCATAAGTGAGGGATGGGAATAACCTGTTATCAGTATTGGAGAGACAACTATAGTAGGTTAAAATGATGAATCTGACTCAAATGATTGAAACTTTGTCATTTGACCTCCCATTGTTTCTTTGCCATTTAAACATTAAAAAAGATTGGATCTTGAAACATAAGCCTGCAGAAATCTCCACTCTGTATAACCTATAGATTTGGAACTGCCAGCCCTCAGAATCCTGTGAGCCAGAAGTATTGTCTAGCCTATTGACTGACGTATGGGTTTTGAACTTGCCAGTCACCACAACTGTGAGTCAATCACTTTAAGTAAGTCATATATATATGAATGAACACAATGAATATATATATATATTCACTGTGTTTCTGTAGGGCAAACTACATGCTTAATGCACAGGAATGAGTAAAGGAGGAATAAAGACGTGAGCTATATACATAACAAAATGCTACATGTACACTAATATACTATGTAAAGTGGATTAAAATTTCTTTCAAAAACAGTATTCAGATTAGATCTTAAAGAGATTGAGTTATATATACACTGTTTGTAGGACTTGTTTTAGATTCACAGGTGTGGGGTAAAGAACCAAGTTTTACCACAAATAAGGTGTTATTTGTCCTTAGCTCAGAGAAATAATCATTGGAATATTTGTTT